CCAGTGATGTTTCTATTTGCTATGTATATTACTAATGTGTGACTTATGAGTATAAACTCTAATTATGTTGACATTTCATATTTATATAGTTCATGCTTCTTTTGTTCATTTATTAACAAACATTAATTATTTGCATTACTTCTACTACTTCATTAGGGCTGGAACCAAATCAAATCATAACGAATAGTGCCTTCATTATCATGGTGTTTTCATCTCCTGTTACTTTGTAAGCTTATTATAATTACTGTTGTTACGAACCTTTTTTTATATTATTATTTAATAAATAAATACTCATTTAAAATTACCATACACCAGCAACATTTATTCATTGAAAACTAAACAAGTAATGAAAACAATCCTTTTAAAATACAAATTTCATTCAGTCAATAAAAAGATAAATATCATATTATAACAAATTGGTTCCAACCACAAAAGAAGATAAGTCACCCAAACATGAAAACGATCCAATTTACTATTAAATTACTCCAATTACAAGATCTTCTACAAAACAGGAACAACTCCACCTCACAAAGGGTACCAATATTTGAGATCAATTGTAGCGCTGTTTTGGCTTAAATTTTTTTCACATGCAAGCATATACATCTATTTTTTCTGATTTAATACATAAAAGAAAAGTTAGTATAATATACCCATCTTAACTGCATTATGCTTTAAATTATTAATATTTTATATAAAGTCAAGGCAAAGAGCTTCTTTTTCCCTTTTTCTACTACAATCCTACATTGATTACACGAAAATGCAAATGAAGGCAACAACATCCTACATTAAACAATTCAATTCGATATATTGGCTATCAAACATTCATTGAGGAAGCCTTTGATGCCTAAACAAATAAACAAAACTTGCAACAATATACAATAAATCCATAAAATCAATTGTTTCACGTCAAAGGCCACTATAAAGAACAAAATAATATAAAACAAAACAAAGAAAAAACAAAGACAAAACAAAATAAAAGTTCATTTTTATCATGGATGATCGACAACATATTACCTAAATGGCATGTCATAACATTTTAGTGAAATTAGAGCAAGATATGATTGTGGTTTCTATTAAAAGAGAAAAAAAATTAAATTACCAGGTAGCCATAGGGAAATAAGAATACAACATTTGAATAAATCAAAATTAATGATTTACCATTAACATATAGAACAAATTATGAATTCTGCATAATAAAAACTGCTAAAAAACTAGACAACAAAAATCACCACATATTTCAAAATATAGAATAACTTTGATAGATTTTTCTACAAAAAAATCTAACCGAAATTTCAAGGAAAATTTTATATTATGCATAAATAATCTAGTGATAACAACGTTAGCCCTAATTTCGATATCCATGTACCAGAATGCAATTATTTAATGTAGAAGACTCGCATTTGCATGTCTTCGTGTTTAGCAAAATTAACGATCAGACAAAACTATTATAAATAATTATTATCAGACAAAACTATTATATGCAATAAAGGCTAAAAAAAGATAGTATCTTTCTAGTTTAGCAAAAATAAACAAAACTATTATCAAACTAAAATAAATAATTACTCATAAATAACAAACAAACTCAAAATTTCACATGAGACAGATAATAGGCTAAAAGATCAGACCTTTGTAACAAATAATACACGACCTATCTTTTATCTTCGAGATCTATCACATGAAAGATGAAAAATGATAAAAGTGAGAGCATTAAAGAATGAAATTATCAATCTTTAAAGGTTAAATCTATATATAGATCTATATATATGCAATAAAGGCTAAAAAAGTTAGTATCTTTCTAGTTTAGGAAAAATAAACAAAACTATAATCAAACAAAAATAAATCTTTACTCACAAATAACAAACAAACTAAAAAAACCACATGAGACGGGTAGTAGGCTAAAAAGATCAGACCTTGGAGACAAAACTCTGACGCTGCACGACCAACCTTCTATCTTCGAGATCTATCACATGAAAGATGAAAGATGATAAAAGTGATAGCATTAAAGAATGAAATTATCAATCTTTACAGTTCAAATCAACAAATCTTAAAAAAAAACTTTACCTAAAACCGTCAACGATGACGACCTTTGAAGGTGGAATCGATGACGAGATTCGATGGAGGAGTCGACTACGAGCTTCGAAGGAGAAGTTGACGACGAGCTTGAGGTGAGTTGTGAACGATAAGTATATGGAGAAGCATGAAAATCCAAGCCCTAATCTTCAATTGGAGTTGGTTTTGAAGGAGGAGGGAAAGAAAGAGGAGAGAGGATTCGATCGTTCAGATCTGAAGGAGGCGGCGTGCAGATGAAAATGAGAATGCCCTAGCCCTAAAACCCCACTCTTTGATATTTATAGGTATATAATGGGTATTATTTGTAAAACAAAATTTACATAATAAACATTTGTAATAAGTCATAGAAAAAACCAAGCCATGACCCCACAGTTTGATAGAGATTCATCACCTTAATTTCCAATGGAAAAAAAATCATCTTAATTTCCAAAGTGTAAAACCCCATATTTTTGTTAGAAGTATATATAAATTATTGATGATAAATAATTCTATTATGGTAAATGACTTGAGGTCATGGATATACCGGATAACAAGTTATTAGAGATATATGAGTGTATTTATATTGAGTTTTGTGCATTTGGTTTTGGCAAATTAGCAAAACATGCATGAATCTACAAAAGGTCTATTTAGTTGACTCATGAGTCGACCAATGAGTCTACTTACAAGCTTATTTTTAGTTTTTCTTTTAGTTTACAAATCTGTTCGGTTTTGTTTCGGGTTTGACCGTATTATATAAGCTCTCCTACCCTGAAAACACCTCTCATCTTCATCAGACCTCAGAGAAAATGCTAGCCCCCTCTCTCCCCTCAAACCCTAGGTTCATGTTTGGTGATTTTTGGGGAAACTTTCGGAGGATTTGCAGCGGGTTTTGGCGCGGTCGAAGGGGATCGATCTTTTGCGGATCCAGGAGTTGCTTAGCACATCTTAGGTGAGTAACATCTCGCCCAGCCCTACTCCCATTTTATTCAGATTTTATAAAAGTTTTATTTCGGTTTTATTTAGCCTAACTCGTTATTTTTGTGTATAAAAGTAGATCTTTATGGTATATGATGCGGAAATAAAATTTTCAGTTTATAAAAAGCTCACCAACGATTTTTAATACAGAGATCTAGATCTGAAACCACTTTAATAAGAGATTAAAGTTTCGTTTTATTATCTTTAAATGTTTAAATCATGTGTATACATGTTTCGGATTTTTGGTGATGATTTTACATATTAAAATATCATTTTAAACTGCTTAATATATGTTAGAACATGTATTTTTATGCTTGGAAGGTAATGATGTTGCAAATAATCACTATATACGAAGTTGGAAAATATTGGTCTGCTCAGTCGACCTGTTTGTCGACTTATCAGTCGACTTATGAGTCGACTGATGAGTCAACTGACGAGAAATTTTACAGCTTTTCTTCTCTTCTATTTGTCAGGTCGACCAATGAGTCGACCGATGATCCCAGTCGACTCATGAGTCGACTGATTAGGAAAATTCTAGTTTTCCTCGGTTTGGATCTGTTTGGATTGTTTCTGTTTAACCAAAATTGTTTGGACATGTTTACTGCTATGGCTTGTTTCTATGTGAACGAGAAGTCGCCTCGAATATCTGATATTAGAAATTTATGTTTATTTTGTATCTCTATAGGTGAGATGACTTACGGTTATGTTTATTTTGTATCTTTATAGGTAAGATGACTTACAGACACGAGTTTAGTTTTGCACACCGAGACACGTGTGAAATTTGTGTATATGCATCTTTTCATATATTGCATTTAGTCCATGTGTTGGGCAATTATTATGTGTAGTCCATGTGTTGGGCATTTATCACATTCAGTCCATGTGTTGGATATTCATTTTTCAGTCCATGTGTTGGGTAATTTTCATATGTAGTCCATGTGTTGGACATCCACTACTTCTAGTTTTGGTCCATGCGTTGGACACCTGTTTATACCTTGAGTATGACACTTATACTTACATAGGCTGGACAGATACTTATGTGGGTTGTGACATGACCTAGTATTTAAGTTCTGATATGAGGTTGTCTTCTTTTATCATTATTCATGTATTAAATTTTTGGTTTGGTATTTAGGGATTTATAATTTGAGATACAAGGTATATACATGAGGATTTGCTTGTTTGGATTATTTCGCTTGACGTACCTATGCTCGTGTTGTAATTTCCTAAATACTAAAATCCTCTCATACATAGGTATTTACAATTTGAGCTACATCGTATATACATGAGGGTTTCCTTGTTTGGATTATTTTGCTCGACGTACTTATGCTCATGTTGTAATTACCTTCCCTCCCCCTTTCAGGTAACGAGCCAGGAGCTCGGAGAGTCGCAGGTTTATGGCGACGCACTTTAGCTTCATCCGTTTATTATAGTTATATTTTTCTTTTGAGCTCCACTGTAGAATTTTGTTAGACATTAGAGAGTTTATTCTAGAAGTTGTAAAGGTTGTGTTTCTTATTTCCTTTTATTCAGACATTTGTATTTGAGACTTGTTGAGAAGTTCCAGTTTATTCATTTTAGACACTGTCTTGTACTTCAGTATGTTAGATGATGAAATATTAATTTGATCTCTATTATTTCATCAGTTGGCTCTTGTATTATCTTTAATTTCTTTTGTACCTACACCTGTTATTGACTCTACTAGAGAGATAGTAATTGTGATGGTGAAACATGTTATTACACGGTGTGGTGCCTTGTCATAGGAGGGGATTTCCTCCTATGACGTCTCTAAAATCACATGATTGAGCGACATTGTGGATGATCCGCTCCGTTGAACTTGATCTGCATATTCTAAAACCCCAACACACCAAGTTTGGGGTGAACTCGTCGTCGTTTGACCCTTATATATAGTAACGTAGCATTAGTTTGAAGAATGTGATTTAATTAGAGCTATCCATCTTATTGACAGTGTACACTGTATCCGTGCTAGAGCAGATGCCGGTCTCGCCTACGCCCCAAAATATTCTAGCGGTCCCCGGTTGGACTTCTTCTCCCTTCCAAACAGGCGGCTGAAGGCCGCGTCCGTCCCCGAGTTAGAAAGACCAATATGAATTCAAGTACCGAGAGCTACTACTTTTCAGCAATTCCCCTCCCTGCCGAATTATTAAAATAGTGGCATAAATTTGTCTTAAAGCATAAACTCCCCACAAACAAAGAAACAACCATGTCTCGATTCTTCGTCTTGGCCCTCGTCCTCATCCTCACCGCAGCACTCTCCTCCGCCTGCAACCAACAGGACCTAACCGCCCTCCTCGCCATCAAGAGCTCCTTCCCTCCGAACTCCTTGCCCAATTCATGGACAGCCTCAATCGACTGCTGCGCTTGGGACTACATCGAATGCGACGACACAACCGGCCGAGTCATCACTCTCTCAATCTCCGACAACAAGTACATCAAAGGCTCAATCCCTTCATCAGTCACCAAACTCTCCGCTCTCCAGACCCTTAGCTTCAGCAACCTCCCGGGTCTCTCGGGCTCCATCCCAACCTTCATCGCTCAACTCCCCACTCTCAGTTCCATCCAGTTCAGCCAACTCCCTGGACTCACCGGCCAAATCCCATCCCAGCTCTCCAAGTTAACTGGCCTCCAGTTCTTTACTATATACAAGACCAAACTCTCTGGCCCTATTCCTTCTTTTCTTTCTGCCTTCACTGGCCTCAAAGAGCTTGAAATCGCTGGAAACAGCTTTGTCGGTACAATACCGTCATCGATAGGAAATCTTGTTAACCTGACTTCAATTGATTTGTCAAGCAACCAACTTACAGGAGCCATACCAGATTCTCTCTTCAGCAAACTTAGAGGATCGTTGGCGGACCTTGATCTTTCTGGTAATACACTGAAAGGTCCGATCCCTAAATCCTTCGCAAATATTGATTTCACTAACATCAATCTGGGGAGTAATCAGCTCGATGGCGATGCTTCGTTTTTGTTCGGCGAGTCAAAGACGGTGAACCAGATAATACTGTCGAAAAATAAGTTCGCGTTCGATTTAACTAATGTGAAGTATTCCCAGAATCTGCAGTATTTGGATATGAGCCATAATAAAATTTTTGGGAGTATATCGAACGAGATCACAAACTTGACGAATCTTGGATACTTGGATGTGAGTTATAATGAATTGTGCGGGAGGATTCCAAGCGGGGGTAGTTTTCGTCAGTTTGATGCGATGTTCTTCGCCAATAATAAGTGTCTCTGTGGAGCGCCGCTGCCTCCGTGCAAGTAAACGCAAATTGGGTTTTAGTGAATAAGTTGCGCGTCCTGATAATTTCTCTGAAGTGTATTGATGAATAGGAGAAAATTGCTGGTTACCCAATAATGATATATGCTATGGTTTGAAATTATTTTATATAGTGGACCTTGTTATACTATGGTTTGAAATTATTTTATATATTAGACCTTGTTATACTCGTCAGCAAACTTGAAATGAATAGAATAAATAGTGTTTTGAAACAAATTCAGAGTTGTATGTAATGAAATATACTATGAGATTAGAAGTTTGAGAGAGAGAGAGAGAGAGAGAGAGAGAGATGAGAGAAGGAGAACCAAAAGAGATAAGAAAGGCCTCTATTTTGTTTCTCTTCAGAGCCTTGTTTAATTAATTTTGTTATATCAACAACATGTTATCATGAATGAATACAATTAAAATCTCACATAACCCGATACAATCATGTACATTACTTGTTGCCAAATCTTGCTATATTCAGCCATGATCATCGTGGTTAATTGATTTCATTGTTGTCATCTTTCTTGTTTAACAGCTTCTTCTAAACCTGTATCAGGTATTAGGTGTATCTCTAATATGCCCCCACAAGACAAATGGCGATTCGAGAACATTGAGCTCGCAACGTAACATTGTGAAGCGCTGGTGGGAGAGATGTTCAATATGCGTATTGGCACACTAATCATGAGTAGAAATGTAGGAAACAAGTTGTTTGGCAGCCACACGCTCACGGACTATGTGAAAATCGAATTCATTCTGTTTTGTGCGAGCATGGAAGACTGGATGAGATACGTACTGCTAACATTATCACACCATACAAACGACCTCTTCTAAATGACCATGGAGAAATGAATTTGAGACATCCAATTGCCCCATGAGCCAACCTGAACTAACGGTGATGGATAGAAGGGGGCGACTAGTGACCACTGGACTGAAGGTGTCGAAATAATTAATCAATATCGGGTTGTTGTCGAAATCCCTTAGCCACAAGCCGTGCCTCCTGCTACACAAACGAATCATCTGCTTGTAGTTTGATCTTGAAGATCCACTATAGCCCTCAATGTTCATATGCGGTTGATGAAGAACTAATGTCAAAGAGACATTGTGCAAAAGAGTGTCAAACTCTAATGCCATCACAGTGCGCCCATCCAGATCTTTGGACACTTGTGTAAAGCATCTAGAATCATGAGGAATACTCACAATGAGAGCTTCTGGCATGAGGTGGGTGCTGATAAGTGCTCAGGGTATAGTGGTCCTTATGATGGGTACCATGGCTGCATATCTATTAGACAATAATCAAGTACAGAGAACCAACGATGAGCTGGGAGATGCTTCTTCTAAGGCTGATGTAGGAATCACGTCGGTTGATGTTTCAAAGGTAGTCAGGGTTGTCGGAAATTTCTCTATGTTAAGGGTGGCTAGAGAAGTGCGACGCCTCGGTTTCACATATGGCTACAGTCCAAGGTGAACCCAAAGATGCAAAACCTGTCATGCACTCTCAACTGTGCATAAACAAATTTCACTGTCACAATTGTTGGATTTTTTGGTCAAAACCGCTTTCCAAAATAAGTTTTCAAACAATATATATATATATATATATATATATATATTAACTACAAGTACTTTTCATAAATGCTTAGTAGCCTAGTGGAAAGTTTATGTTTTGGTGTTTCAAAAGATCCCTTGTTCGAGGCTTACCAACGGCAAGCCGAAAAGTATTTTATTTGTATTAATCCCTCATAAGTTCTAGTGGGTCGTGGCCCGTGGGCCGTGGGCCATGGGCTGTGGACAACTAATGAGCTGGGGATCGGGGCTAATCGGGCTGAGGCGCTAAGTGGCGCTTTGTTAGGCGCACTTTGCACTTCGCCTCCTATCGATGAGGTTTGTCTGTCATACAAGTTTAGTTTGTTTGACGATGTTCGCTCGTTCGACGATGTTCATCTGTCATACGAGGTTCGCCCGTTTGACGACGTTCGTTTATCAAACGAGGTTTGTCTCATTTGCTGAGACATGACCCTCGTGTTTCGTAGCAACGCGTCCATTGATTGTCTCGTATTCAGTAGTTACAGCATGTAGCAGTTATAACAGCAATTAGAGCAATTTAATGTATTAATGTTATAATCTTAATTGCCATTAAGAATTATAATAGTCACATTAATTGCTAGTGACTCTTGAGCTGGCCTTAGAGGCCTATAAATAGTGCCCTTGGGCAGCTCTTGGTTGTAGCTGAAAACTCTCTCGCGAGCGTAGAATACGAACGTCGGTATACACACGCGAGCTTGGAAAACGAACGTTGGATCGACATTGTTGTTGCTGTTGTTGTGCTGTTGCTGCAGAAATTATGCTCGCAGGAACCCTAAAACCAAAAGGTTTTGAACCGAAAGGTTCTGAGATCGAGGAGATCTTTTGCCTTGACCGAAAGGTCTCCTAGATCAAGGAGATCTTGATAGTACTGGGTTGGTGCACACTGTACTGCTATTTCTGGAAGTAGTTTGGTATTGGGATCCTTACACCGGAGTAGGCTAAATATTACTTTAAGCACAGCGTTTCACAAACGCACAACACTTAATTGAAAAAGTTTAAAATAACAGCACATCATCATTCACTGTTTAATTCCAGATTTAACCATAATTTCTAACAATCTTAAAGCAATATTTCAGATCTACTAATGGATCCTACGAGGACTCTTGGAGTGGACAGTCTCAAGTTAGAAAACTTCGATGGATCTAACTTTAATGCATGGCGTCGAAAAATGATTTTTGGGATGCAACTCCTAAAAATCTACTATGTCGTTTTTGAGGAGAAACCTGACTTTGAAAAAGACTCAGAGTCTAAAGTCTCTTGAGATAAAGATGATCATTTTTGTTGGAGTTATCTCCTTAACTGCCTGGCTGATCATCTAGCAGATGCTTACACCAACAAGCCCTCTACAAAGGAAATATGGAATGCTCTTGAGGAGCAATACAAGGATGAGAAGAAGTTTTTCAAGTCTCATCTCATTGACAAGTTTCTTGACTTCAAATTTGAATATGACACTGAGGTTTTGCCTCAAGTCAAAGAGCTCGAAAAGCTTGTTATGAAGCTGAAGGATAAAAAGATCAGTCTTTGTCACACCTTCATTTCTGGTGCAATTGTTAACAAGCTTCCTCCATCTTGGATGTCATTCTCCATAGACATTCGAAGAAGGAAAAGACATGTGACTTTATCTGATTTGAAGAGGTTCATTCGGATCGAGGACGAGATTCGGACTCACACGAAGAATGAGCTCCTTGCTAAACAGAAAGCGTCTGCTAACATGGTGGCTACTAACTCTGAGAAGGGTATCAGTTCTTCTTCTAAGAAAAAAAAGTCTTTTAACAAAAAGAAGAACCATAATCCGAAGAACCTGAATGTTCAGAAGAAAGATTTCAAGAAGAGCGGCAAATGCTTCAATTGTGGGAAGCAAGGGTATTTTGCAATCAACTTGACAATTGTGTGGCTATGCTCTTTCAGGTGACAACTCCCAGCAAAGTCTCTGGTTGGTGGTTAAATACAGGTGCTACTTGTCATGTCTGCTCCAACAGAGATTTGTTCTCTTCCTATATTGCTGCCAAAGAGAACATATCAATGACTGATCATTCTGTGGTTTTTGTTCTTGGAACTGGGACTGTGGTACTGACTCTTTCTTCAGGGAAGACTCTCACATTGAAGGATATGAAACATGTTTCCTCGATTGTCAAAAATTTAGTCTCTGGAAGCCTGTTGTGTGATGCAGATATGAGGCTGGATTTCCAAAGAGGAAAGACTGTATTATCTTTTAAGAAAATATATTTTGGTAATGCATATCGTATTGATGGCATGTATAAGATCAGTACTATTGTACCCAACTCAGTTGTAAATGAAGTATCCTCTTCTGCTTACTCCTTTGTATTATGGCATAATAGGCTAGGACATGTAAATTATAGAAAACTGTCTAGCATGGAGAAGTTAGGATTACTTCCGAAATGTGAGGGTAATAAACCTGACAAGTGCGAAGTCTGTACGCAAGCAAAGCTAACAAGGAAGCCATTTCCAAGTGTCACAAGGAGCACCAACCTATTAGATCCGATTCACTCAGATACTTGTGATTTCAAGAGCTTTGTCACTCGAGTCGGCATGAAGTACGCGGCATGAAGTACTTCATCATCTTCATTAATGACCACTCTCGTTTCTGCCACGTCTACCTGCTGAAATCTAAAGATGAAGCCTTCAGCAAGTTGGTCGAGTTTCGGACTCGAGTGGAGAAGCAGCTTGGACTTCAGGTGAAAAGACTCAGGAGTGACAGAGGAGGGGAGTATCGATTTAAGGAGTCGAAGGCATACTTCAAGGAGCATGGAATCATTGTTGAAACTACTGCTCCGTATTCTCCACAATCTAATAGAATTATAGAAAGGAAGAATCGCACATTGACCGAGATGGTGAATTCAATGCTAATCACATCTGGTCTACCTACATGGTATTGAGGAGAGGCTTTGCTGATGGCAAACTGGATTTTGAACAGAGTACCATATTCCAAAACTGATAGTACTCCTCGGAGAGGCTTTGCTGATGGCAAACTGGATTTTGAACAGAGTACCATATTCCAAAACTGATAGTACTCCTCATCAGTTATGGTTGGGATATCCAGATCCTTTGGATAGTCTCAAAGTGTGGGAGTGTCTCGCATATGTTCGAGTTCCATATATCATAAGGCCTAAGCTCGGACCAAAGGCAAACAGATATATGTTTCTTAACTTTGCTGAAGATAGTGATGTTTGCAGGTTCCTTGATCTTGGAACTAACTCCATCATTGAAGCTCGTGATGTAGAAGTCTTTGAGGATAATTTTAACAAAGATAAAGGATTATTGCTCAAAGATATAGCAGAGAATGCTAGTACGTCAGACGCACCAAAGGAGCCAGTTTCATGAGAATTTGAAAGTATCAGTGATGAAGGAGTTACTGAACCATCTTCTAAGTGTGTCAGGAGACAGAAAGATATTGGAGATGACTTCATCACCTATAATGTGGAAGGAGACCCACAGACTTTTCAAGAAGCAATACAGTCAATAGACGTTTTTCTGTGGAAAGAAGCTATAGATGATGAGATGGATTCATTGATCC